CTGCAGGAGTTCCCAGTTGGTTAGTATGCGGGAATGCTATGGCTGATGTCGCCGCTGGTGAGGCGGCGAAACTGGCCAGATTACCCCAAGCGGATCGAGCCCGTGTGGCGCAAGTGGAACAGCGTACCTTCTTGGTACGCATGAGGCTGCTGAGGGCGGCCATCGACGCGATGGAGGCGGAGGAGGCTCTCGTGCGGGCCCAGAAGGACTGCCGCAGAGGGGTTCTGAGTGAGGGAGGGCCCCGTTCTCCTCCTCCTCCTCCCCCGCCTCCTCCTGTGCAGCTTTGCTTGCCGCCGCCGTGCCCCGCGGCTGTGTCCATCCTGTCCAGTTCACACGCTCTGGACGACTCGGGGCGTCGGTGCCGCAGGTGTCGTGGCTCTGCGTCGATTTCGGAGTGTCGCAAGTGGAGAGCGTCGCCGTGTTTCAAGCTTGTGGCTCTGGACTATGCGTTGAGATCCCTTCCCCAGGGGGCGGAGTTGCACATCGCTGGGGGGTGGGTGCACAGGTCTCACAAGCTAAGATATCATCAGGACGTCAATGTTTGGTTCTGTGCTGTGTGTGGCATGTTTGCAGATCAGCAGTTGCTTGGGTTGGGGAAGCAATGCGTGTATAAGACCACCCCGACTCGAGCAAGCTATTTAGCCAGAATCGGTGATTCGTTGTGGCCTAAGGCCTTTACGGCAGCTCAGAGGGCCAAGAGAGTCCAGAAGGGGCTCCCCGTTTAAGGCGTCAGAGATTGGACATCGTCCAGGGACTCTTACTCTTACTTCTTACTCCTCCTCCTCCTCCTCCGCCTCCGCCTCCGCCTCCGCCTCCGCCTCCGCCTCCGCCTCGGCCTCCTCCTCCTCCTCCTCTTCCTCCTCCTCCTCCTCCTCCTCCATTCCTTCCCCTATAGATCACTCCTCCCTGTCGCACCACGAGGCGAGTTTGTAGGGCGGGCCAGGCGTTTCGCCTGAGATTTCCTCAACACTCATGACTCTGAAGCTTATATAGGGAATGAAAACTGTTTCACAGATGGAAGGCGGGTGGTTTTCAAAATGTGGTTCTCGCCTTAGCCCGGCGCACATTCGTTTTAAACATGTGCAAGAGCTTCACGGATTGAGGGCGTGTCGTTTTCAAAATGTGGCTCTCGTCCTAGCGCCGCGCACATTCTTGTTAAAACATTGGAAGAGTTTTCACGGATTGAGGGCGGGTCGTTTTCAAAATGTGGCTCTCGCCTTAGCGCCGCGCACATTCTTTGTAAACTTTGCAGCAGGTTCACGGATTGAGGGCGGGCCGTTTTCAAATGTGGCTCTCGCCTTAGCACCGCGCACATTCTTTGTTCAATTTGCAAGAGGTTCACCTATTGAGGGCAGGTCGTTTACAAAATGTGGCTCTCGCCTTAGCGCCGCGCACATTCGTTTTAAACATTTGCGAGAGCTTCACGGACTGAGGGCGGGTTATTTTCAAAATGTGGCTCTCGCCTCAGCGGCGCGCACATTCTTTGCAACAAATTGCAAAAGCTTCACGGATTGAGGGCAGTTCCTTTTCATAGTGTGGCTCTCGCCTTAGCGCTGCGCACATTCATTCTAAACATGCGCGAGGAGTTTCACGGATTCCCAGGATCAGCGTACCACAAATTGTCTTTTGGAAGGACTCAGGATTATGCTGATGCAGCAATTCTGATGATTCGCTGTTGAAATCCCCAAAATGGCGTTATGACACGATTCCGGATCGCCAAAACGCAGCAGTCAGGTTGATACGTGGCGTTGAAATCCCGAGAACAATGCTTTGGCATGCTTCAGGATCTTCAAACGGTTGTCTTCCAACGAGGCAGTGTCCTCAATGGAAATGAACCGTTGTAGGGGCCTATGAGGAGGGAGCTTGGAGGGAGGGTTAATTCCAACCTCGTTGATGACACTGGTCCTCCTCCTCCTCCTCCTCCTCCTCCTCCTCCTCCTCCTCCTCCTCCTCCCCGGGACATCCAGGAGCCACAGCTGCCTTAGGAGTCCACGGGGAGCTGCGAGCGCAGGTGCTCTCGCGCGCCCCGCGCGCCGACTTGATTCACACCCCTGGGTGGGGATCTGGCCTGTCTCCTCCTGGCTTCGGGGGGCATGCCCCCCGCCAGGGCGCGGAGGCGGCGGGGGTCTGGATGGGCGCGGGGATGGAGACGGGGCTCGGCGAAACGATACAGCTGGGGCGTTGACCTGAGGAACCCTAAAGGAGGAACGAGGCCCCTTCGTTCCATAAAAGTCAGGCTTCGATTTCCCGTCGAGGGCCCGAGGAATACCGGAGGCGAACTGCAAAACAACTGAGGGACCCTGAGCCCCTCCCCAACAAAAAGGGCTCTTTCTTCAACGCCCCGACTGTACTGAGAGTCTCGATCCCCGCTTCCCCTCCGTGGGTCGGGGATCTACTGGATCCTCGCTTCCCCTCCGTGGGTCGGGGCTCTACTGACCCGGGTCAATCCAAATCAGGGTCAGTCGGGCGATGCAGGATCCTGCAACATCCTGCAGGATCCTCAAGGGTCCTGCACCCAAGCCGGGGTCAGTGCGCCGCCCTGCAGGATCCTGCAAGATCTGGTGCGTTGACTGACCCCCGTTTGCATTGACCCCCGTCTCTTGAGCCCCGAATGGGTCCCCTGTCGCGCAGCCTGGCCTGATGGTTGAAGGAACAGAAACTTGCATCAACAACGCTCCGACAAAGAACCGAATATCCCCCCCCCCCTCCACTCCACCCCCCGGCCTGAACATTGGAATGCATTGCGATCGAGATCTTTGGTTCAACTTCTTTCCGGCCGCTCATCTCAAGGACCATCTGCTCAATATTAAGGCGGGGGGGAAATTCGAAGTGGTCCCCCAACTCTTGATGCAAAGTATTCCTTGACTCCGGATCCGCCCTACTTTGGGGAAATTCGTAAGTAGGGCTTGGAATTTCCGCCTTACTTTTCAAGCCCCGCTGATGCCAATTTCCGCCCTACTTTTCTGTTGTTGTTTCCGCCCTACTTCTGTGGATTTTCGCCCTATTTTATGTTGGGCGCAGAAATTTCCGCTCTACTTTTTCGGCTTCTTTTAAGTGGATTTCCGACGCAATTTCAAGTTGGGAAAAAACCAAAGTAGGGCGGATCTGGAGTCAGGGTTTTCCTTCAACGGGATCACCACCGTCATCTCGTAGCCGTCTCCTTGGAGCGTCGCCACGCGCGGCGGGCAGGCGCCCCCCCCCCCGCCTGATGCGGGTCGGGCGCAGAGGGGGGGGAAGTGGCAAAGATGCGAGGCGGGGATCTATCCTGACTACCTACCAGACCACCCAACCCAACCCGAAGACCCGAATTTCGGGTTGGGGGGGCAAGGGTTCCACACGTGTTTTTCTATGTTTCCCGACCCCCCCCCACTAGAGATCGAGGGTAAATCTGAGCCTTCGGGTTGGGTTGGGGTGGTTTGGTGGGTGGTGATATCCATCTCCACCGCCTGGGAACCGACGTCCTGGGGACCCAGCGGGCGGTGGACATGGATCTATGCTGGCCCCCGGGGGCCGAAGCGCACCCAGATACGTCGCCCGTGGAGGTCTGCCACCGTCGATCCTCCAGGCGGTGGTTATGCATAAATCCCCGCCTCGAGAAATCGGGGGCCGGGGCCCCCGCGGACGGCCTCGCATCCTGCTGTTGGGCGGGGACTGAGGAGGAGGAGCAGGAGGAGGAGGAGGAGGAGGAGGAGGAGGAGGAGGAGGAGGAGGAGGAGGGGGGGGAGGAGGACGAGGAGGAGGAGGAGGAGGAGGAGGAGGAGGAGGAGGAGGAGGAGGAGGAGGAGGAATCCGCCCACGCAACCGGCTCCCCCGGAGCCTCCCAGCGCCAGAGGGGGCCCGTGCTTCGCGGAGCTCGCCCCGCGGTGGGGCCGGACCCCCAGCTGCACGCAGCAGGCTGTCGCACCCCCCGTTTTTTTTTTCCGCCCCCCCCCCCCCTCCCCTGGGGGGGGGGGGGGGGCAGCATAGATCCATGCTGGCCCCCGGGGGCCAGCATAGATCCATGTCCACCGCCCGCTGGGTCCCCAGGACGTCGGTTCCCAGGCGGTGGAGATGGATATCACCACCCACCAAACCACCCCAACCCAACCCGAAGGCTCAGATTTACCCTCGATCTCTAGTGGGGGGGGTCGGGAAACATCGAAAAAACACGTGTGGAACCCTTACCCCCCCCCCCGAAATTCGGGTCTTCGGGTTGGGTTGGGGTGGTCTGGTAGGTAGTCAGGATAGATCCCCGCCTCGCATCTTTGCCACTTCCCCCCCCTCTGCGCCCGACCCGCATCAGGCGGGGGGGGGGCGCCTGCCCGCCGCGCGTGGCGACGCTCCAAGGAGACGGCTACGAGATGACGGTGGTGATCCCGTTGAAGGAAAACCCTGACTCCAGATCCGCCCTACTTTGCGTTTTTTCCCAACTTAAACTTGCGTCGGAAGTCCACCTACAAGGAGCCGAAAAAGTAGGGCGGAAATTTCTGCACCCAGCATTGGAATAGGGCGAAAATCCACAGGAGTAGGGCGGAAACAACAACAGAAAAGTAGGGCAGAAATTGGCATCAGCGGGGCTTGAAAAGTAAGGCGGAAATTCCAAGCCCTACTTACGAATTTCCCCAAAGTAGGGCGGATCCGGAGTCAGGGTCTTCGTCCGACCTGGCTGATCACCATGTGCCCAGAGACCCAACGTACTGAAGAAATCAAGACCCAGGGTTTTCGCAATCGTCTGCCTCAAGGGGCCCTCGCCGGGCCCCGGGACCGTCAAAGAACGACTCAGGATGAAAAACCGGCCCTGGGGAACGGGTCGAGACCGCCGGGGAACCCGCACTGAAAACATCACGACGTCGGATCTCTGGGTGAGCGTCCTCTTCGTCCGTCCGGGGGGGAGGGGGGGGGGCACGACGGCCCGCTCCGATCGGCGAAACGCTGCATAAAAAACGACCACCACCATCAGCAGCATCGCCAGCACCACCACCGTCGCTGGGCGCAGTCGGGCGGTCGCCCCGCCCTCCCGCCTGGCCACCAGGAGCCACACCAGCGCCGCCACCGCAGCGACGCACGCCGCGAAGGCGGCGGCGGCGCCGAGGCCGCCGCCAGCGAGGCCGCCGCTGGGCGCCTCGGGGGCGGGAGACGCGTCCTTGCGAATTTCAAAGGCTTGCTCTTGCAACTTTCGGTGGCCTGTTCGTTCGGGTTCCGGTGGTCTGTTGCTGCGAGCTCTGGCGGCCTATTCGCGTGAGCATGTGCGCTTGGTCCTTGCAGGACTCGGTGATTTGGTTTCACGAGCTTCGACCGTTCGCTCGTCGAGGTTTCCGGAGTTTGTTCGTCGAAGTTTCGGAGATGCGTCTCGTGGTTCTCCTGTGGCTTGGGGGGCGGGCGCACAGGTGGCGGCGTCTGGCGGGCGAGCAAGGGCGCTCGGGTGAGCTCGGGCTCAGGCGGGCGTGCTCGAGCAAGACAACCTTCTTCTGCTCGCACCACCAGTCGTGTCGGTAGGATGGCCCAGGCGCTTCGCATGAGACTGCCTCGCCGCTGGGTTTCTTGAGACAACAACTGCACACTCTTTACTCAAATGGAGGACTGACCGTTGTCAAAACATGGTTCTCGCCGAAGAGCCGGGCACGTTCGTCCTAAAACTTATCACCACTTTCAAGGGTGCAGGGCGATCCGCTTTAACCTAGGGCTTTCGCTTAAGGCCTCCTCGCAATGTGGGCACATGTGCGTAGGATTGCGCGCTACCTACCAGCATGGTTCACGCTTGAGGTTCAAAATGGCGTTCTCGCTCGAGACGTCCTCAACATGTCTTACCCTAAAAATGCTTCTTGTCAACGGCTACCCGGGTAGTCCTTTGCACAACACGGTGCTCCCGCTGGATAGCTCCTTGATCTGCCACATCTGCGAATCATGGCACTACCCACCTCTCAGAAATCCACGTGCCTGACAGGATCCAAAGTGTGGATGGCATACCCATGGGGTGCCCGCATTTCACAGAAGTGCTTCCTGTAGCGAGAGGGTTGTTTATAGGAGCTGACGAAGAGTGACGTTAGGATGGGAGGGTGTATTAAAACATCGTTGGCGCATTCTGGCTTTGCCATCCTCCTCTTCTGAAAGAGAGAGAGAGAGAGAGAGAGAGTGAGAGAGAGAAACCGAGACATGAATATAGTTATCGGAGGTTGGGGGGTGAGATCGCAGTGAAACGGAGACCCCCCACCGGGAAATCGGTTTCGGTTTCGGTTTCGTGTTCGTATCGTGCGTGCGGTCGAGGCGAAGCTGCGCGTGATCCTTCTGTAGCTAGGCCGAAGTAGGAGCGAAAGTCCGTTTCCCCTCCGCTGGTGGCCGGGAAGTGTCCCAGTTGGGCTGGGCGGTGTCCCGGGTGTCCCGGGTGTCAGTGGGAGCGAAAACCCGTTTCCCGTCCGCCGGTGGCCGGGGTGTGTGCCAGTTGGGCCGGGCGGTGTCCCGGGTGTCCCGGATGTCCAGGGCGTTCCGGCGCTAACGCATGTCGCTGATTTCATAATTCATTTTCTTCGGCGCCTGCGGCGGGTTTTCTTATCCAATCCAGCTTATCTTATCCAATCCAGTCCATCTTATCTTATGCAACCCATCTTGTCCCATCTTATCTTATCCCACCCAACCCAATCCATCCAACCCAATCCATCAATTCATCTGTTTCTGCGCCTGCGGCGGGCCAATCCAATCAATCTTAGCTTATCCAAACCATTTCTTCCAATCCAACCCATCTTATCTTATCCAATCCATCTTATCCCATCCAATCCAATCCACCCAACCCAATCCATCAATTCATTGTTGTCGGCGCCTGCGGCGGGCTTTCTTATCCAATCCAGCTTATCTTATCCAATCCATCTTGTCCAATCCAATCCATATAATCCAGGTCGGTAGTGAGATCGACAGTGAGATTCACTGATCGGTCGCTCGACGGATCGGTAGATAGTGGGATCTCGTCGTCATCGTGATCATCATTATGGTGGAAGGACTCTGATAGAGAGGGAGAGGGAGAGAGAGAGAGGGCGAGAGAGAGAGAGACAGAGAGAGAGAGAGAGAGACAGAGAGAAAGAGAGAGATGAGATCAAGGTGACAGGCTGGAGGTCAGTCAGGGTGGGCGTTTGATCTCAATCCCCCCCAACCTCCTTATCGCCCGCAGGGCGGTCGCATAGGTGTATTATCATAGAAAGGGAGAAAGAGAGAGAGAGAGAGAGAGGGAGATAGAGAGAGAAGAAAGAAAGAGAGAGAGAGAGAGAGAGAAAGAGAGAGAGAGATAGAGAAAAAAAAGAGAGACAGTGAGAGAGAGAGAGAGACAAAGAGAGAGAGAGAGAGAGAGAGATAGAGGAAAAGCACTCCGTGGCCACTTGGGCCCAAGCCTCCTGTACAGAGCCCGCTGGGTTCTGAGGGAGGCGAGAGCCCCGCAGCCTGCGCTGGAGCGCGCGCGCGAGAGTCCGCCCACGCGCGGGCGAGGAGAAGGAGGAGGAGGAGGAGGAGGAGGAGGAGGAGGAGGAGGAGGAGGAGGAGGAGGAGGAGGAGGAGGAGCAGGACCCGCCACGGAGCAGGGGAGGGCACGCCGTCTCCCGTGGGGCGCGGGGCAAGGCCCGAGGCTTCTGCGGCGCCCTCCCACGGCCGCCTCCCTCCCTCGCGGATGAGGGCGAGGATGGGGAGGAGGAGGATCAGAATGAGGAGGAAGAGGAGGAGGAGGAGGAGGAAGATGAGGAGGAGGAGGAAGAGGAGGAGGAGGAAGAGGACGAGGAGGAAGAGGACGAGGAGGTCGACGAGCAGGAGGAGACGAGCGCACAAGAGGAGGAGGAGGAGGAGGAGGAGGAGGAGGAGGAGGAGGAGGAGGAGGAGGAGGAGGAGGAAAGCCCTGCCTGGCGGTGGCTACTGGTGCAGCTGCGGCGCGGCCTGCGGGGCCCCCTGCGCCGGCGGTGCAGGGGCGCTGCGGCGGCCGTGGCCGGCGCGGCGGACACGGGCGAGGCGGCCGCCAGCGTGGAGGCGAAGGTCGCGACGGTGACGGCCGACAACCTGCAGAGCGACCGGAGGACGACTCAGCGGCGTGCTGGTGGCAGCGCTCCTGCGCCCCCTTTGGCTCGTGATGGGCCGCCGTGCGCGGGCGGTGCGCTCGGCTGCAGCCCGTGCGAAGCGCCGTGAGGCGGTGTCAGCGCGAACCAGGGCGAGATCCTGGGGCGGCCGCCTCCGCCCTGGCGCGAGCGCAGCGAGAGCTGCGCTTCCCTGGCGAGGCGGCCTTCTCCGAGAGAGGGGCCTCTGCCGCGCCGTGCTCTCAGACGCACCGCCGCGTGATCGCGTTCGTGCTCTTCGCCCAGCCCCGGCTGCCGAGGTCCAGGTTGCTGGTCGGGGGTGCGATCCCTGACTCCAGATCCGCCCTACTTTTGCTTTTTTTCCAACTTAAAATTGCGTCGGAAATCCACCTATAAGAGGCCGAAAAAGTAGGGCGGAAATTTCTGCACCCAGCATAGAATAGGGCGAAAATCCACAGAAATAGGGCGGAAACAACAACAGAAAAGTAGGGCGGAAATTGGCATCAGCGGGGCTTGAAAAGTAAGGCGGAAATTCCAAGCCCTACTTACGAATTCCCCAAAGTAGGGCGGATCCAGAGTCAGGGATGGCCCAGCGACCAATGTCGCACATCCAGGTCGCGCCGTTCTGGCCGTGGTGGGCCTGCCAGCACCTCCATGAACTGCCCCTTCTCAACGCAGACTGCCGCGGGATCCTTCGCGCCACTCCCAGGCGCTGGCCTGGCCAGCAGAGGCCGACCTGGAAACGACCTGGGCAGCCATTGTTCCAGTGCTAGACTTCGCCCGCCTGTGAACATCGCACGCGGGAATGGCGCGCGCCACTCCATCCAACGAGCGCTCGAATGTGGCGCCGCATTCGCATCGTCCAACCACGCGACCGCCCCATCAAGTAGATCGGCCCTCAAATTTTCGACGTCCTGCTCCACCAGCCCCCGCTGCGTCGCGTCAGGGGGGGGGTCACCCGGGCCCTTTCCAGTCTCGCTCTCGCTCTCCACCCCGCCGTCGCCAAGTCCACCCAGGCCCCCCGCAGGGAAATCTCGGGGCGCGCCGCCGGCTTTGGGGTCTGCTGGATGGCCAGTACCAGCGCGACAAACTCGAAATAATCACCGCACGCGTCGCCCATCCCATGATCGCGGCAGCTTGCTCGAGCCTTCGCCGCTTTAATCGGAAAGATGCGCCTCCTTGTCCTCGACCAACTTCTCGTAGGCGTGCCCCGCATGACCGCGCGGCGCATATTCCGCTTCGCGCCGCGAGCGATCGGCGCCCCCCTGGCACCCGCGTCGGGGCCTTGCCAGAGGTGCCATCGGCGCCCCCGACCATCCAGCACGAACTGCCCCCTGTTGCTCTGCGCCTAACGGTAGGTACCTTTGCGCATCGCACAGTGCCGAATATACCCTGGGCCCGTCGCCTCAGGAGCACGCTCCATCATGCGTTTTCGCTGCCATTGCTGCGCCCCCTCAATCGCCGACTCTCGAACCTCTTTCGGCGGCGTCCTCAGCTGCGAAGTCACTTCGCCATCTCTAGCCGTGAACTGCGCGGGCCCACCAGCTCCCAGTCGATCCGACCTAGCGCATGCACGCGCGCTGAATTTGGCCCAGCACACCGCGCCCAACTAGAGCTCTCACTTGGCCCCTCCTTCACCGCCGGTCATGCGCGCTGCGGATGAGCACCGGGTTCTCTACAATCCCACTGCCGGCCAAGCCGCGTACATCTCCGTCAGGTCAGCTGTCGCGCCGCACGCGTTTCGGCGGCAACTCGCGGGGGCCCCCCATGCCATATTGTCGGCTCTTGCGAATCGACGCCAATCGACGCTAGTCGACGCTGATTGACCGCTGGTCGATGCTGAGTCGGCGCCATCACATCAACTCCCAGACGCTGATCGACGCTAGTCGACGCTAAAGCCAGAATCAAAAGGGCGCGACAGGCCCCCGTGACGTGCCGCAGCAACACGGGGTCCGCGAGCGACTCTTCTGCGTCGCCCGGCGGCGCGTGAGCGATCTGCCTTTCTGCGGGCACCCCGCCGCATCGTCTGCCGACCTCGTCGGCCCAGTCAACGTCGACTCTGAGATCCCCGATGCGCTGC